CACGATATACATACCGTATATAAATGTAGGTAAAAATTAAATCATGCAGTGAGACATCTCTTTTTATTAGCTTTATTTATTTGCCTTTGTAGTACTTGCCTTATTTATTTTCCATTGTAATCTTCAACTTTATTAATTTATTACTCTTTTCTATAAGTATTTGTGTGCATGTGATAATATTTTTTTTCTTTTTTATTCTTTGTATTTTTTTTTTACCCTTTTTATTTCTTCAATGGTATTTGTTTCTGCCTGTTTTTACATTCCTGTCTGCATTTCTGCCTCATTATGCAAATGAGGAAGGGTGTATCTTAGAGGGTCTTACAGTATAGAAAATACACTTTACAAATACTGTAAAACTGTCCACTGCTGTATATTGATTGTTCTTTAGATACACAGTATTTCTATTTGTAAAAAAACAACAAAGTATTTTTTTTTTTTACTCTTATTCTATTATTTTGATACGCTTTTTAAGGTCCACATTTGTCTGACCACTTTTGCTATAATCTTTTGCTGCTGCTGTAAACACTACAATTTCCCCATTGTGGGACAATAAAAGGATTTTCTATTCTATTATATCTATATCTATGTTTAAGCCCCATTCCCACAGACTGCACCTCTGGGTCCCTGAGCAAGACATTTAACCCCACACTGCTCCGTGGGTGCCACACAGTGGCAGCCCACTCCACCCCAAGGGGATGGGTTAAAGGCAGAATAACTTAAAGACAGTAAAGAGACGTAAAATTTTGTATATATATTTATATATCTAGAGTATATATATATCTATCTAGAGTATATATATATATATGCTGTTTATTAGTAATGTCTTGTAAAGTAATCCCTCCAGCGCTGACGTCAACAATCCATCGATTAAAACAAAAATACGCTGCATTGCTGGGGCATCCTTCTTCTTTTCTGCTTAAACCAGAAGATTAGGGTTGCAAGTCGACCTCCCCAAGATGGCGTCCGTAATTTCTGAGCTGTAACAGTCAATGTTGACTATGGCGTCACTATCCGATCTGTAGTGGAAGCACAATCCGTACCATCGGCTCATTTTCACATGTGGAAGCAGATATTTCTCCAGGTTTCCATGAATAATGTAACCATGGTACTAAAAACTCCCAGATCTTGACTAAGTAATGAGGCTGTTTAAATGCCTGTCAAAGTTCTCCAGCGAGCTGAACCAATTTTCTGAAGCGGTCACATGGAATGAAAAGGTAGCAAGGCTTTGGACATCATTGATTCTGGCCCCTCTCCTACATAAGCCAAGCCTTACTTCGTGGGAACGCCCCCTCCACTACTGGAGACACGCCTCGAATAGCTCATGTCATATTATCACTAGTGTTTGGTTATTCCAGCAGTTACAGGGCGCTGGGGTCGTATTGAAGGAATTGGACAGTAATGGGCAACAGGAGAACCAATCAGGACGTCTTCAGAAAAATATTCCACAATCAGTTCAGCTACTCCAGGTTCTCCCTGAGCACACAGGCTGCACTCTGGGTGCTCCTGCTACCTGAAATATAGTTGCTAGGCTAAGGGCTCTGAAGCAGGAAGGACTGAGTCTTTGTGATGAACTGGCGAGGGCCCCAGCATGGACCGATGATAGATGGTTGCATGGATGGATGGTAGATGGATGGACAGAAACATTGTTCAGCAGTTGAACTTTCAATGAGAATTTATGCTCTGATGTCAAAGTTTACTTTTATTCTAAAGACATAAAAACAGAAATCGATTATATCATTGGATGACCTTTAACCTCTAAGGTCACATCATTGAAACGTCCTCCTGATGGCAACCAGTGAGAGTCCTACTGGGCAGCTGATGGTTCTGGTTCCTCCGGGCTCTGGGAAGCATCCTCTCTAGAAAGCAAGTTGTGTTTGCGAAGGTGGCAGGCCTGCTCATATGGAGGCTGTATTGGCAGCTGGGTGGGGGGGGTGTACTGGTACTCTGCACTGGTTCCAGTCTGCACAGAGAGGAACAACTACATTAGTGATCCGGATCAGTTCACTGACCCGGCCTGTCCATCAGACCCCTAGATCCCTCCATCGCTATGTAGAGCGGGGTCAGGATGGACCCTTCTCTATGTAGCGACTGAACTGTTCATAATTTATTCTTTATGGTAGGGCAGCATTCAGAACATGTAGGCCAATCACTGTCCCCCAGACATCCACGGTTAAATTTTTTATATTTATATGTTTTAAAACAAAGTGGCGCGTGTATGACGTCATCCACGCATGCGGACTGGAGTAGTGATTCTCCTACATATTTTGAATGCTGGCATACTAGGGATGCACGATATTGGGATTTTGGCCGATATAGGATTTGCCGATATTTTAAAACTCATGTAGCCGATAACCGATATCG